ACTGGGCCCTGCAAAGCTCTGCTCTTGGTGGCCTTGAGATCAGGAGGGTTGGCTTGTGAGGGAGGATTTGAAGGCGGTCTGGACCAGGTAGCAAACTCCAAACCAAACCAAGACCATCCCACTGGCTTCTTCCCAACAAGCCAAGTCCCTCAGGAGGCTGGCGTCATTATGGCCCTATGAACTAGGGCCCAGGGCAGGGAAAGGTGGCAGGGACCACCCCACTGTCAGCTCCACAGATGCCCACCCCAGGAGCCAGGTCAAACTGTGCTTATTGTTTTTTGTTGTTTGTTTTATTTTTAAAGATAGGCTCTATCTATGTAGTTCAGGCTGGACTTGAATTCATGATGTAGCCTACACAAGCCTCAGACTTCCTGTGATCTTCCTCCTGAGTGCTAGGATTATAGGCATGCACCGTTATGCCCTCAAAATGTGCTTATTGATTCTGGGCCCAAAAGGGATATTAGTCAAGCAGCTGCTTCTCCTGAGGGCAAGACATTCTGGACTCTGAACCCAGAATAGTGAGTGTCTCATATGTGACAAAGGGTTTTGTCTCCTCCTCTGTGATTTTTATTTACATGTGTACTAGCTTAGAAGTACAAATAAATTCCAAGCATGGTGGTACACACCCTATAGTCTCAGCCCTCGGAAGACTGAGGCAGGAGGGTCGCCATGAGTTTGAGGGCAGCCTGGACTGCCTAGAGAGACCCTGTCTCAAAAAACCTAATTAGTTAATTAATTAGGTTAGACATTTACTAAGCGACCAAATACAAGACAAAAGCACAGCCAGGGCTACTGCTTGCTGTAATTCTGGTTCATTGTTGAGTTTCATGATCTGGGGGATTTGTGTAGTGATGGGGAACTGCGGAGTCCGTGGACGGAGTGATTCTTCAGAGCACCTACTCGGCACAGGTCCCATGTGAGACCACCGGGGCCCCAGAGGCCACCAGGCAGCCACAGTGGCATGCAGGACAGAGGTCCCCCTGGGCCTTCCAGACCCAAGGAACAGCAGGCAACCACTTCAGCAACATGGGAGACACCCTGCACGGCAAGTAGTATGAATCCCAGGGGAAGGCCCGGCCGGTAGGACTCCAGCTTAGGGACCCAAGAGAGCTGTGACACATTTTCAAAGTCACTGCGGTAAAGTGTCTGAGGAAGCCCCAGGGCCCACTGACGTCACCACGAGCTGAAAGTCCTGCCACACAAGGCTGGATTTCTAAGGACCACTCTTATGATCCCATTGGCAGTGGAGGGAAATCCTACCTTTACTTCAGAATGAGCTGTCTAAGTCTATTGAGCAGCCAGGAAGGCCCAGACCCTCCCCTGGCCAGTGGGTGTGGAAGCCCAGGCCTGAGTCTGTATGGGAGGTTACTTCTCCAACCTGCCTTTCCAGGGAGCTTTCCTTTTCCACCTCTCTCAACAGGGAGGGAAAGCCCTAAAAAGAAACCTATAGCTTGGATTTCTACGTTAAACAATTTTTCTAGTTTCCTTAGAAATAGAAACAGAAAATGAATATGGTGACACACGCGTGTAATCCCAGCACTTGGGAGGCTGAGGCAGAAGAATCAAAGCAAGTATGAGGCCAGCTTGGTCTACATAGTGAGTTCAAGGCCAGTGTGAGATATAGAGTAAGACTCTGTCTCAAACAAAGAGAAAAGAAACAAGAACACACATTCACTTACTCTACCCACCAAGACTGTCTCTGTGAAATACAACTCTCTGGTTCCCCTCACACCACAGCTGCCAAAAGTTGATATGGAGGGAAAACCAAAGGTGCCCAGCTGGAAGCTGGTTTGTGTGATTGTGAGTTCTGCCTCTTCCTTGCCTCTTCCCATAGGGCCAGCCGTGTGCCCAGCGCTGTGTGCTTCGCTGGGTACTGGTCAGGTTTGCCCCTCGGGAAGCCCTGTATTCTGGCTCGCTGTCCAGGGCTGTCTCCGAAGGCTCTCTCCAGCTCTGCCGCCAGGGGATTCGCCAGAGTGCTGACTCCAATGGCCCTCGGCACCTCAAGGGACAGGCCACTCGGCCCTAGGGAGCCTGGAGCTCTGAGAACAGGACACAGGGCCCAGCGCAGTGTAGTACACGACTGGAATCAGCAACAAGGATCTCTGTCTCTGGAAGCTTCGTCCCTTCCGGCCTTTATCAGATGGGGAATACAGGGCAGATCCCAGCCCGCTCCAGGCAGGTCCTGGAGGTGATAAAACACCAACAGGACCACACACTGAGTACATTACACTAGCTGGCTTTAAAATTTTTTTTTCCTTTGTAGTACTGGAGATTGAACCCAGGGCTTTCAAAATATATCTCCAACCCCTCCCTCTTTTTTTTGGTATCAGGGATTGAACTCGGGTCCTTGAGCCTGCAAGGAAGGCGGTAGAACCACTGAGCTAAAACCCTGGCCCCCATTTTTTTTTTTAATGTTGAGAACATGGTTGGCATGTCCAAAGCCTTGGGTTGGCTCCTTGGCACCAAAAACTAAGCAGAACATCCCATAGGATAAAATCTCCTACTTAGCTCAAAGGAAGGGGATCCCCAACAGCACTCAGTAGGAGGAAAATGAAAGTGTAATTTCCTCTTTTACAAAGCCCAGGGGGCAGCGAGGGTGTCTACAAGAGAAACCCAGACTATAGCCAGAAAGAATTTTAGGGAAGAAGAACCCAGAAACTCTAGCTCCTTGTTCTCCAGCTTGTCTGAATGCTGGGGCGTAGGGGGCTTTAAGAAGACCTGCCACCCAGGAGCTGGGGAGATGGATGATGGACAAAACAAGCTCAGTCAAATATCCCCAGCCCACGGTAGTGTCTAGATGTAGTTGTACAATTGTTCTCCACAGAACCTTTTCCATTTTGCCATAAACGGAACATTTTTGTAATGTGATATTGGGGAAAAGTCCCTTGCCTGGTCCCACCCCAGACTTCGCAGTTTCTCTGGTGCAGCCAGTGCGCTGGGAATTACAAGCGATCCCAGGGGAGGCTGGTGTCCAGCCAAGGGTGAGCCCCATTACTGAATCTAGGCCCACATGGTTTACACAGCCTCATCAACATCATACGGGAACTTATTAGAAATGCAGGTCAGCAGTCCCCAACCCAGGAGGACAAAGTCAGCAACTCTGGGGACAGAGACAAAACTGGTGCTCTAACAGACAAGTGCCTCCCAGAGATTCTAGCCTGCAGAAGTGAGAGCCAGTGCTTCCCAAACTTGGCTGTACTTTGGAATCACTGGAGGAGATTCGGAGACAGAATGGAGACCTCAGGATAAGATCAGATGTGCTGAGTTAGGCCCTTGTATCTGCACTTTTCCTTGTGAACTCCCTGAAGATTGTGATGCTGGCCAAGACAGGCACAGGCCCCTTCTTGGGCAGAACAGGTGCAGAGTCCCTCAGAGCTGTGAGCCTTGGCCAAGGCAACACCGGGTCCCTGAGAGAGAGGAAGATTAGGTCCCAGCCCCTGTGCAATTTGCTCTGCAGCTCCCCCCTGGCCTCTCCCTGCACTCCCCACAATTTATGTTGATCAAATGGTCAGTAGGACCACACACACACACACACACACACACACGCACACACACACTTCTGGCTTCCGGTTCCCCAGCTTGGTACACACTGGGAACACCTGGGAATTTAAGGAGATGCAAAACTCTTTCTCTGAAGTAAGTGGGTACAAGAAAGAGCTCGATCCTGTCTAAAAAGACTCAGTAAATAGTGCCTTCAACACAGTGCTATGAAGGACAACTGGAAAGGGGACCACAAGGAGGCAGAAGGACCAAAGGCTCAGCAGCAGGTAGGGAAACCTACAGCCAGCATCCAGCTCCTCCCGTTCCCATAGCACTGGTGCCACCCAGGACAGGAGGCCTCTACATAGAGAAGGGTGACACCTTACACAGCAGAACAGGAACCAAACACCTAGGAAAAGAGGGGGATGGGGGATGAGGCTCAAGTGGACCAAGGCCTTCCTCTTGCAGGGGAGGACACTGAGGCACTGCAAGTGGGGCGACTCGGCCCAGATCACACTCTTGGACAAAGAAGAGAGCCAGGGTTTGAACCAGCTGTTTCCAGACTCAGATCCAGTTTCCAGACCACTGCTCTAGCACCTTCCTGATAGCGCTGTCAGCTCACACAAGAGGGCTGGTGAGGGTTAACAGAATAGGAGTGATGACCCTCAAACAGAGCGGCCCACAGCCCATGGTGGCACACTCCTATAATCCCAGCAGTCAGGAGGCTAAGGCAGGAGGATCAGTGTGAGTTCAAGGCCAGCCTGGGCTACATAGTGATTTATAGGTCAGTCTCAACTACATAATGAAACCCTGTCTCAAAACAAAACAAAGAAACCAAGAGAACAGCCCACAACACAGAACTAGCAGTGCAACCAAGAGAAATCCTCGAGGTTGCGTCCTCTACACCCTGGACTTTTCTTCCTGACCAGCCATGGATCTACCTCTTTCTTGGTTTGTTTCCCAGATCCTTAGTCTGGGTATTTCTTGTCCAAAGTGACTGAGGTCTAAAACACAGAGACTAGCTTAGGGATCTTGAACTCACTATGTAGCCCAGACTGGCTTGCAGGGATCCTCCTGCTTCAGCCTCCCAAGTGGTAGGATTACAGCCATGTGCCACCATGCTTACCTTTTTTTTTTTTTTTTAAGAAATGGACCTTAGCACTTGGAAGGCTGAGGCAGGAAAATTGCTGCAAGTTTGAGGCCAGCCTGGACATGAGTTCAAGACTAGCCTGGACTACATAGAGCCTGTCTCAAAAAAAAAAAAAAAAAAAAAAAAAA